CCCCCCCCACTCAATTTTTTATCTGGTGCTGTGGTGTTATCTGGTGCTGTGGGGAGAAATGGGTGAGATACGAAGTGTCGTCCAACGGCTAATAGTAGACACTCCGTGCACACAAAGACCCCTATTCATGCGGAACCGGGGCGGAGAATTTGATACCTGTGAATGCTACCATCCCATGATATCGCGTGCGTGACAGCCGTGAAACTCTATCAGAGTGGGAATATGGTCTGGATGGCTGGCACAGACGATGATGGTCCACGGAGACAGACAGAGAATCATGCCCTATCGCCATGACAAAGACAAAGAACAAGGACAGGAAAAAGAACACTGAAGCCCCTATTTCTTGGACGGATTGACTGTGATGGTTCTCATCACACAAACATCACTCACACTCTCTCAGGATAAAAATGCCAAAAATACGAAAAGCGAACAAAAAAAAGGGTGGATGGCAAATCGACCATGCCATTCCTCTTGTTCATTCTTTTGAAGGAATGAATGCACAAATTCATCCCACCTTGTTGGACCTGACTCGTTTTTGACTCCTTTCCATTCTCCACATATCCTACATAACATACATAACCTACACAACGCACAACACCCAAATAACATCTAATACGCTCTGAACACTCCACTATGATTATCAAGCCTGTTCCTTGCGCCACCACAGACCCCAGCATTGTCTGGCAGGACGAGGAGGCCAACCACAGATTCCTTCTGCAGTCTCGCTCCGTCCCACTGTTGTCCACCCACCAGATCAAGAAGCTCAGGCGGCTGTCCCTGAGCCTTGTAAACGGCATCAACGGTGGCTCAGATGTCTCCAGATCGCTCTCCTCGTCCTCCATAAACTTGACATCATCCCTATCCTCGGTGCGAGAGGATACACCTCAACCACATCCAGACACACCTGAAGGGTCAGACGCTACCACACCATCCATACACGAAGAGCCACAGGACCTCGAATCTGAGCGACCACTGTCACCCTCGATATTCTCTTTTGGCGCCCGTCGATCGGTACGCTCGCCTTCCACCTCATCCATTACGAGCTTATTCAACGCCGCCTCTCGAAGGAAAAGCTCCTTTTCATTCTCGAGTCCAGCACCACCACAACCGCAACTACAGACACAGACTCAACCTGCACAACAACCACCGCAAGAAAAGAAACAGTCTCAGCATCGGGCTGGCCTGAGCTTAAGCGCAGCATATGGCGACATGTTCGACTCGATTGTGGACTCTGTGCAGAAGCAGACCAAGAGCACCCTCGACTCTGTCCAGAAGCAAACCATGAACACTCTGGATTCAGTCCAGAAGCAGACCAAGAGTACTTTCGACTCTGTCCAGAAACAGACCATGAACACTCTGGATTCAGTCCAGAAGCAAACCATGAGCACCTTCGACTCTGTGCAGAAAAGCACCCGGGATAAAGTGCAGCAGCAGATGTCCTCCCTCAACTTTTCCTCGTTGACCTCACTGTCCCTACCTGGGGGAGTGGGAGCCAAACTAAAGTCGTCCAACCCGCTAGGCCGGATCCTGGACACAGCTGCGCTAGAGAGCAACAAGGTCTCGATCCAGGACGCGGGCTTCCGGATCGTACTCCAATGCTCGCTCGAGAATTATGTCGTGGCCGTGGGCGAGAGTGAGGCCCAGATCCGGGCTGACTGGGCCTGTATCCACAAGACTGTTTTTCCAAAGGTAACAACTAAAGGCCAAAGACCAAAAAAAAAAAAAGGATGGAAATCTTTACTGCACAAAAAAAACGTGATGGTATGACTGACATGACATTTTTACGTTATTAGGTCTCTGAGGTTGAGCTTGGGATTGCCTTGGGTCGAGGAGGGGATGAACACGAGTCTGATCGCAAGTGGATTTACGAACTGGATCGATTGAGCGAAGCTTGTAAGGAAATCGATTGCATCCTATGCTATCGATCCGTTGCTCATGTCTCAAACGACTGACATCGTTATTGAATACACCTTTTTTTTTTTTATGACAGTGTCACTGGATCAGGACCAGGACAAGGCTATCATGAGCGCGGAGGTGTCCCGAATATTCCATATCGACAATGAAGAGCTTCTATGCTGTAAGTACTTGCCATCCTGATCGCTCTTGCATCTAGAATTCAGCTCACACCACTATGTACCTCTGAAATATCTTAGTTTACAGGTCTGGCTACATGCTAGAAGAAGGAACAGTACTGCTGGGACACATCGCATTGACCAAAAACTTTGTCTGCTGGCACAACTCGACCATGATTGAACGGTCACTGGAAGCCGCAAAGGACTATGGTACCAAAGAGAAAATTGTCAAGGTCAAGGTCGACTACAAGGACATTATCGAGATTCACGAAGAGTACAATGGCATCAAGGGCCTCGCCGTTGTATCAACCAGGGAATCCAAGGTGAGAAAAGAAAGTAAGTGTATGCTGCGGATATTCGAAGCTAATTGCTGATCATTTCACTTCAACACGTAGACGGTATTTGTTCCGACATTCCACCAGCGAGAAGTACTTGATATGCTCTCACACTTTTCAAACGCGTACATGAGGCTATTGGCGTCTGGACTGGCAAACGACGTCAGCGCGAAAAGACTGGTCGAAAAGGAAAGACGACAATCCAACTCTCCGGCGTTCATGGTCAACTCCACCACGGACCTCAAGACATACACCAGAAACCGCAACTTTCAGTCCATTTTCCGCCTTCCGCCAGCAGAGATGCCCAAGGAAGAATTTTCGGCGACACTCGAGACCAAGAACGTGGCGGATGCCCAGCCTGGTATGATGTACCTCTCGCAGCGGTTTCTTTGCTATTTGGCTAGGTCCACCTCGAGCCAGGACGAAACAATGGACTTGCTACTCTCAACCTCCTCCACTTCTGCCTTGACACTCGTGATCCCATTCTCAGAAATCATTGAGATGAAGCGCGACACAGGGCCCAACTCTTCACTTCATGCCGCCCACCAGCCCACCTCGCCAAAGTTAACCACTTCTTTCATGTCCTTTGTGGCGCGCCCCTCCGTCGGGACCGTGATCTCGGTGAAGTCGCGCGGACAGTTCTGGTTCACAGGTGGACAGCACCAGAACCAAGATATTTTCGAGGCTGTACACGCCAAGTTCAGCTCGATCGACCCATCCACAGAGCTGCTACGTTCGCTCGAAATCCAAACCAGCCATGAGGCCCTGCGCCGGACAGCCGAGTCCCCAACCAAGAGCCCGACGTTGACGAACAGATCCCAGAGCTCGGACGACAGGACCGTTGTGGAAGAGTCTTCTACAGGACCCCTCCCTGAAATGAAACTCGTAGGATGGGACCGAGATGTAGCCATACCTCTGCCGATGGGACTCAACTATCTTGTCGGGAAGCTGTCCGACGAGCGAGCCATGTATCACAAAGAAATGGAGCTTGAGTGCGACTGGGTCGACTACTTTGCACTGTACGGCCGTGACATCTGCATGATCAAGACGAATCAGCTCCGAGCCCTGGTCATGAACGGGATCACGGACACGTTCCGTCCGCAGCTGTGGATGATCCTCTCAGGAGCCTCGTACCTCCAGTTTGGTGACGTGTCATACAGAATCAACCTCCATGAGAACTTGGGGAAACTGGGCAACGCCCATGCGCTGGGCGAGATCGAAAAGGACGTGATGCGGAGCATGCCTCACCATCCTGCGTTCCAGTCCCCGGTGGGCCTGGGGGCTTTGCGCCGCGTCCTTGGTAGCTACTCGTGGCGGAACCCCAAGATTGGCTATGCTCAGTCGATGAACATTGTTGGTTCGGTCCTGCTCCTCCATCTCAAGGAAGAAGACGCCTTCTGGCTTCTGGCCACTCTGTGCGAGCAACTCTTGCCGGACTACTACTCGCGTGCCCTGGCAGGGTGCTTGGTCGATCAACGGGTGTTTTCTCACTTGGTCGATATCTCACTCCCGGAAGTATCGGTACACTTCCGCGAGATTGGGCTGGACCTGGCCACGATCACGATCCCCTGGCTGCTGTGTCTGTACCAGTCGTCGTTGCCACAGAGCCTGGGGCCTCGAGTCCTGGACTGCTTCTTTTACCAGGGCCCAATCTTTTTGTTCATGTTTGGACTGGCGATCCTGAAGTCATGTCAGGCGGAGCTGCTCCAGTGCACCAGTGATGAAGGAGTTGTCTGCACCATGCAAGAGTTCTTTAGGTGTTTCCACGAACAGGAAAGCGATCATGTGGAGAAGAAGGTAGCGATGAAGGAGGAAGGGGGACTGGAAAAAGAAGAGTCCCTCAACGATATTGTGGCTCGAAGCCACAGGCGGGAACCGTCGTCGACCTGGAACCAGCTCCATGGCAAACGGCTGATGGACTATACACTTCAGTTGGCGTTTTCCGAGTTTTCGTTTATTACCAGCCAAGATGTGGATAGGTTGCGGGACCGGTTCCGAATGGGTGTCGTGTCTTCGCTAGGAGAGCAAGAGCGGCAGGAGCAGCAGGAGGTCATGGCCGTCGAGGACCGGTGGAGCCGCGAGGGGTACGAGACGATTCCTTCGGGTGCGTCGAGTGTATGCTCACTCTCTGACGAATAAAAGGAAGATAAAATTGATTTTAAGGTGCTTCAAGCGCCGAACGGAACCAGGGTGCTCCTTTAAAAAGTTTACCTCATTTACGGACCGTGAAACAAGGTTCCTCGAAAAGCATAAAAAGGGGAGAGAATGAAGGAAAATTCATCGACGTCCACGAAAATGGTCGGTTTCCCTTGGGGGTTGTAGCTCAGTGGTAGAGCGTTCGCTTTGCATGCGAAAGGCCCTGGTTTCAATCACCAGCAGCTCCATTTTTTGTTATTTTTTAGTGGGAGATGTAATGGGATCCTGGGGACTGAGGCTCCGGGAGTGCTTTTTGATGGATATCGAGCTAGGAATGAAGTGGGGGAGGTGGTTAGGAGGGTGCAGCTTTTTTTTACACCATTTCATTTTCTTGGTGTCACCTTTATTTTTTTTTGTCTTTTTTGGGACTTGGCCAGCTGAGTGCGATAGACGGATCGAGCAAAAGGCTGCCAGGATAGCTGCTCTCGTTGTGAACTAGGGACGAAGAGTGGAGGCAGAATGTGTGTGCGGTGTGGGAGTGGTGGGCTTCAAAAGTTTGGAGGAGTGGGGGAAGCAATTGATCGTTAGTTTGGAGCGAAGTGAAGACTGTGAAGACGGCGCAGAGGCAATTTATTATCTTTGGTCTGGTTTGTCTGTTTTGTCTTTGTCTGGGTCACTCTCTCTCTCGCTCACAGTCTGACATCCTTTTTCCTTTTCCCATTCATCCACACCATCCATCACACCCACTCTTCCTTCCATCCATTTCATCACCACAGTGCTCCCTCATCAGTTGACGAAAGAGAATCAATATCACCCAACCTTGCACTTCTCTTGAGGCTAAACAGGGAGCCTCTTCTCAGTCATTTCCGAGCCACATTTTGCTTGTATTCTTCATTTCGCTCATTCCTTCTTCTTTGTCATTCGTATAAAGCCAAAAAAGAACACACACACACACACACACACACAGGTGCAGCGACAACACAGACCACTCTTTGCTCTATCCCCTTTCCTCTCTCTCTCTCACACACACACACACACCCTTGCCCCAGCGCAAGCCCAAGTTTCGTTAACCCATTCCGCAGCTCCATTTCACAACAATCATCCAATCCGATAACGACAACGGACAATAGCACACACACACCATCATGAGAGTCAGGGACTCGGTTCATAGCATGTATCTGGGCCTCGTCCTCTGGCAAGTGGCCTTTCTCCTCTACCTCGCCCCAACCCTGGGGGACTGCTCGCCACGGATAGACATCACTCACCCACTGACGGACAGCATCCCCATGACCGACTTCCACAACAAACAGCACGAACAACCTCTCTACCACACCCCACAGTTCCCCGTTGCCAAACCCGTCGTGGTCGCTTCCCACTTTCATGCAGGAGTAGAAGGGGGGTCAGCCAAAGGCAGCTGGAAGCAGGCAGCAGCGATCCCTGTCGGTGGCGGAAGACCAGTAGCAGCCTCTGCCTCGTCTTCCCCTTCGACTCGCAAACTCCACAAGCGACTGCACGCTGAAGACTTTGGAAGACGAGAAGCAGGATCGGTCATCGCACCCCCAAAGCCAGAATATGTGCCCGCTCGGCATGCACTCCTGACAACAATCGACGGCGAGCTGCACTGTGTCGATACCACAACCGGCAAGTTCCAGTGGACTCGACAGCCCAAAGCCGAGGGGGCTGTCGTGTCGAGCAATGCGACAAAGTTCAGTCGGTCGGCTGCAGCAGCTAAAGCTGGGCTGACGGAGGGACAGGAGCAAGAGTACGATGCAGAGGACTGGACGTTTATTGTCGAACCATCAGAGATCCCTATGCTCTATGTGTACTCGAACTCGAGTGGACTTCAGGTAAGCAAGGAAAGAGGAAAAAAAGAAAAAAGAAAAAAAAGTGGACTTCAGTATTTTGAAGATGGCGAAGGTATTACATTATAGAGAGGGTGCGGCGCATGGGGAGGGAGAGAGAATCGTTGTCGAGCCTCCACGTAGCACACTATCAGAGTTAATTGAAAAAAAAAAATTGCAAGAGACAAACACTGCATTCAGTGCATAGAAGAAGAAAAGAAAAGAAACAACACCAGTATTGCTGAATTCATGCAGGGATCATTGGAGTATTGGATTGATATAGCACTGAGAAGAAAGCAAAAAGGCCATGCTGACAACGGAACCTTTATATTTTGCTACTGCACTATTTAGCTGGTGGGATCCTTGGTCCATCTGGTCAACAACGCACCGCAGATTCGCCCCGATGGAAAACGGATTACTGGCTCAAAGGAATCAAGCCTGGTCGAGTTGGATATCCTCACTGGAAGAGTCGCTGACGAGTTCCAGGCTGACACTGGATGTACGGGCACAGGAACCAATGGCTTCAAAGGATCAGAACACACAGTCGCCCTTGGACACGCAGGTAAAGAAGACATATGTCTCTGGAGATGATCACTCCTCCTCTTCTTCCTTCTCGGCTTTAATTCGGATTCCATTTTCTCATCCTATTGCTTATTCTCGCCTCTTGATTTTAATCATAGTGTACAAGCTGTGTATCACAGATCCAATCTCTGGGATGCAATGGGAGATTTCTTACAGTGAATACTTCCCAATCGACGAGGACCCGGCCATCAAAAGAGGAGTAACTACGTGGATTGCCTCGTACAGGGACGGCATCGTTGCCATTAATGACGCCACCCGTTCATACGTCTGGATGAACGATACCCTTAAGTCACCCGTCACAGCAGCCTTTGACATGTTCTTGGACACTCAGAAGAGTCGCGTCGTGCTTTCTCGGCAACGCGGTGTGGCAGACCTGGGTCGCACAACATCCGTTGCGCACGCTGGCTCGAGCATGATTGCTCATGTTGGACAGTACCAAGGCAACCTCTACGTTCTCTCGGGAAAGAACTTCCCTTTCTACTTGGATTTCGAGCCTGCAGAGGTACACAAGCCCAGAGTCGGCATTGATCCCAACGAAGGCGAAAATGGAACTGACCCGATGAACGACTGCAGGGCTGGATCACCTACATTCCCAGCCTGCATCCTGGGCTCTCACCCACTCGGAGACCCATACCCGGGTGAGTTTGAGCAGCCACTCCCACCTTTGCTTGATGACAAGCCATATGTTCCTCCTGTGATACCTGAGAAACCGATAAACCAACCCATCCGTGATCCGTTTGCTCCACGTCCACCTACTTCAAGGACCACAACGGTTGTTGGCTGGCTGGTAATCATTCTGGGTGTTTTGACGGTCGCTGTTTACTCCAAGGGAATCGACTATGTCACACAGCCCGTGGACACCTTCTTGGCGGAGCATCGAGTTGGATTCAGAGTGAACGGACTGGCCAAGGCGGTGTCGCAAAAGGCAGCTGCGGTCGGCACGGCTTTTGGCGTTGGATGGTCTCGTAGCGACCTCAAGGACAGTTTGCCAGAGTTTAACGACAACTCTGCCCTCTATGCCCTTCGAGGCGACATGGAGAGCAACAATAATGGAACCGTGATTCAGGAAAAGTCACAGTTGGAAATGGTAGAAGAAAAGTCAGAGAAGGGACGACGTGGACCGAAGTCCCAAAAGGCGGATCAGGAGGGCGAGGATACGAAAGATGTGAATACAAACGGCGCTGGAGTAGGAGGAGCAGGAGGAGGAGGAGAAAAGACTGGACGAAAAAAGAAGCGAGGCAATGGTGGCAAGGGCCAGAAAGCTGCTGCAGCTGCAGCGGCTGCAGCGGCCGCTGCGACGAATGGTGAAAGCCCAGATGGTGATACCTCGAAATCAGAAGGAGCAAAGGACAAGGACAGCACAGCAGCGAATTCATACTCTTCGGCAGCAAGCAATACCACCGCCGTTGAGGCGGAAACAAAAGTGAGTGACGGCGGTGAGTCAATACCAAACTCGGCCTCCTCGATAGCAACAGCGATGGCAACAGCCAACACACCATTGCTTAAGTCAATCAATGTTTCGGATTCGATATTGGGCTATGGAAGCCACGGAACAGTCGTGTACAAAGGAACGTACGATGGTCGGTCCGTTGCCGTCAAGAGACTTTTGATTGACTTTTATGATGTTGCGTTTCATGAAGTCCGGCTCTTGCAGGAGAGTGATGATCACCCCAACGTGGTCCGATATTTCCGAAGCGTAGGTGTTTTGAGCATGATTTTTGCAATATTTCATGAGGTTCACATTGTACGTGAGATGATTAATCCACTTTTTTGTGTCATTCTTATAGGAACAATGCGATCGGTTCTTGTATATTGCACTGGAGCTGTGCTCTGCTTCGCTGGACGATGTCATTGAGCGAGGACATGTGCAGCGATACCGTGACCTTTCTGCCACGTTGGAGCCACAAAAGATCCTCCACCAGATCATCTCTGGCATCCACCACCTGCACAGCCTCAAGATTGTCCACCGCGACATCAAGCCCCAAAACATTCTCATTGGCGAGCCCAAACAACGGCCAAAGTCTTCCAAGTCCTCGTCGTCGTCACCATCTTTCGGCTCTCTGGCACCGACACCCCTGGGCTCGTCTGGAATGATCACCAGCATTGTCCGTGCCAGCAGTTCACCGGCGCAGGAACTGTACCCTGGACGAGTCCTGATCTCTGACTTCGGACTCTGCCGCAAGCTCGAGAACGACCAGTCCAGTTTCCACAACACAACAGTCCATGGAGGAGGCGGTGCTGGTGGCGGCACGATCGGCTGGCGCGCTCCTGAGTGCTTCTCGGGTATGGATCTGGACGAGTATGCGATCAGCAATGACGAGTCTGGCTCGTCGTCGAGTGGAGGATGGGTTGGCATTGGCAGCGGCAGTGGTAGCGGCAGGGCGAACAGGATGACACGCGCAATCGATATCTTTTCGGCGGGCTGTGTTTTTTACTATGTTCTGACCAACGGCGACCACCCCTTCGGGGACCGCTACTCGCGCGAGCGGAACATCTTGCTGAACAGACCGAACCTGGACGGGCTGAACTCGATGGGCCAGGAAGGTGTGGAAGCCAAGGACCTGATTGCCAAGATGATCAGCCATGATCCCGCGGAGCGGCCCGATGCATTCGAGGTAATGCACCACCCGTACTTTTGGTCCTCGAACAAGCGGCTCATGTTTATGCAGGACTGCTCGGACCGGTTCGAGGTCGAGGACCGGGGCAACGACGGTGAGATCCAGAGTCCGCTGTTGTCAAAGCTGGAGCATAATGCGAAAGATATTCTGGGCAGGGACTGGTACAAGGTCATTGACCGGACCTTGGTCGAGAACTTGGGCAAGTAC